CTCCTAGAAGGTAAAGAAGAGGCTCGAGCTCCTAGAAGGTAAAGAAGAGGCTCGAACTCCTAGAAGGTAAAGAAGAGGCTCGAGCTCCTAGAAGGTAAAGAAGAGGCTCGAGCTCCTAGAAGGTAAGACCCTGTGACACCAGAGTAGATATTCATGGTAATGATTCCCCACATCCTCCAAAGGGTCTACAGCCATTTATTCAAGTAACTACATACTGGGGAAAAGGAAAGACCTGGGCATTTTAAGGATTGCTGGATACAGGGTCTAAGCTGACACTGATACCAGATAACCTGAAGCATCATCATGGCACTGGGGCATGTGGGGACCGTGGAATAAATGGAATTTGGGCACGTCCAGCTCACAGCAGGTCTATGGGATCCACCCAATCAATGGTCATTTCTTCAATTCCCAAATGATTAAAATGGACACACTAGGTGGGGGCAGTACCTCCAAATTAGCTTCTTGGCTTCTGGGGTAAACTAAGTGAAAGCCCCTGAAACTGCCCCTCCCTACCCAGTCAAGATGATCAATAAAGACCTAAAGAAAGCAGAGGTGGAGGTCCTTACTGAAGCCTCGTTTCATTCCTCAGTATGGCCTATACAAAACCAGGTGGATTCTGGGGACCACCGAGTAGGCCCCAATTTCAGTCATGGTGCCAGGTGTAGGACCTTTGCTAGAACAGAAATACTTAGTCTCAGGCACATGGTAAAGTGGTGAGTAATTAGGCAAATGCATTCCTTCCTACCCCTCAAAAGACCAGAGGCAGTTCACATCATGTGATGTGGACAACGGTGTACGTTTATAGTCTTTCCCAGGGCCATGTGAATGCTTTTACTCTCTGTCAATAGTATAAAAGAATCTGGGCCATCGTGGTGGCTCACACCCGTAATTCCAGCACTTTGGGAGGCTGAGGCAGGTGGACCACAAGGTCAGCAGTTCGAGACCAGCCTGTCCAAGATGGTGAAACCCCATCTCTACTCAAAAGTACAAAAATTAGCCGGGCATGGTAATGCACACCTGTAGTCCCAGCTACTCGGGAGACTGAGGCAGGAGAATCACTTGAATCCGGGAGGCGGAGGTTGCAGTGAGCCGAGATCACGTCACTGCACTCCAGCCTGGGTGACAGAGTAAGACTCCATCTCAAAAACAAACAAATGAACAAACAAAAACAAACAAACAAAAAAGAATCTGGATCTGGCTACACTACAGATCGCCAGGAGCTCACTACTGATGATATTGCATTAAATCAGACTGCATGAACAAGAAACAGCAAGTGCACTGGAACCTTTGGTAAGATACGTGTGCTCCAGAGGGTTGGAGATGAACCTTACGAAGTACATCAGTAATAAGGCTGTGATCTAGGCATGCCAGGATATTCCCTCCGAAGTAAAGATCAAATTATTTCATCTGGTACCTGCTATACCAAGAAGGAAGCATAATGCCTGAAAGGAGTCTTCAGGCTCTGAAGACAACATAGTCCGTATTTTGGAACACTGCTCTGACCCAAGTATCAACTGACACCGAAGGCGAGCTTTCAGCGTGGCCCAGAGTTGAAAGGACGCTCTGCTGCTTGGGACATATGACTCGGCAGATCCTATGGTGTCTGTGGTGGCACAAGGTACCAACCGGAGTTTACGGCAAGCAACACTACAAGAATCGTGACAGACCCTGAGAATCTGCCGCAAGACCACGCTGTCTACAGCTGAGAATGATGTCACATTTGAAAACCAGCTTCTGCCATGCTACTAGATCCTGCTAAAAATGGAGCACCTGACCGCAGGACACCAACAAAACCATGTGGCGAGGCTGGGCACGGTGGCTCACACTTGAAATCCCAGCACTTTGGGAGGCTGAGGAGGGCGGATTGCTTGAGCTCAGGAGTTCGAGACCAGCCTGGGCAATATGGAAAAACCCTGTCTCCACAAAAAATACAAAAATTAGTCAGGTGTGTTGGCTCATATCTGTAGTCCCAGCTACTTGGAAGGATGAGGCAGGTGGATCACTTGAGCCCGGGAGGCGGAGGGTGCAGTGAGTGGAGATCATGCCACTACATTCCAGCCTGGGTGACTGGGCAAGACCCTGTCTCAAAATAAATAAATAAATAAAAATAAACCATGTGGCTAAGTCTTTTCAACAAATGATGTTGAGAAAACTGGACATCCACATGCAAAAGAATGAAGTTGGAACCTTACCTAATGCTATATTCGAAAATTAACTCAAAATGGATCAAAGACTTAGACATAAGAGCTAAAATAATAAAAGTTTCAGAAGAAAACATAGGAGAAAAGCTTTCTGACAATGAACTTGGCAATGATTTCTTCGATGTGATACCAAAAGCAGAAGCAACAAAAGAAAAAAAATACATAAATTGAACTTCATAAAATGAAAAACTCCTTGCTCGGCATGGTGGCTTATTCCTTTGGGAGGCTGAGGCAGGAGGATCACTTGAGGCCAGAAGTTTAAGACCAGCCTGGGCCGGGCGCGGTGGCTCAAGCCTGTAATCCCAGCACTTTGGGAGGCCGAGACGGGCGGATCACGAGGTCAGGAGATCGAGACCATCCTGGCTAATACAGTGAAACCTCGTCTCTACTAAAAAATACAAAAAAATAGCCGGGTGAGGTGGCGGGCGCCTGTAGTCCCAGCTATAGGGAGGCTGAGGCAGGAGAATGGCACAAACCCGGGAGACGGAGCTTGCAGTGAGCTGCGATCCGGCCACTGCACTCCAGCCTGGGTGAAAGCGCGAGACTCCCTCTCAAAAAAAAAAAAAAAAAAAAAAAAAAAAAAGACCAGCCTGAGGAATATAGTGAGACCCTCCTATCTCTACAAAAAAATGAAAAAAAGAAAATAAATTAGCCAGGCATAGTGGTGCACGCCTATCGTCCCGGCTACTCCCGAGGCTAAGGCAGGAGGATCACGCTGGCTGACAGAGCGATACCCTGCCTCTAAAAAAAAAAAAAAAAAAAAAGAGAAAATAAAAAGGCAATCTATGGAATGGGAGAAAATATTTGCATGTATCTGTATGTCTAATATGGGTTTAGTATCCAAAATATATAAAGAACTTCTGTGGCCAGGCACGGTGGCTCACATCTGTAATCTCCGCACTTTGGGAGGGTGAGGTGGGAGGATCACTTGAGCTCAGGAGTTTGAGACCAGCCTGGGCAACATAGCAAAACGCCGACTCTACCAAAAATACAAAAATTAGCCAGGCATAGTGGCACATGCCTGTAGTCCCAGCTACTCGGGAGGCTGACATGGGAGGAGAGCTTGAGCCCGGCAGACAGAGGCTGCAGGGAGCTGTGATCACACCACTCACTGTAGCCCGGGCGACAGAGCGAGACCCTGTCTCAGCAACAACAAAAACAACCCAATTATTAAAATGGGCAAAAGATGCGAATCAACACTTCTCCAAAGAAGATATATAAACAGCACAGGAAAGATGCTTGAGATTTTAAGATGCAAATCAAAACCACAATGAGACTCCCTCACACCTGTAAGGCGTTTCTGTTTATTTGATAGTAAGACGGTTACTATCAAAGAAACAGAAAATAAGGCTGGGCACAGCGGCTCAAGCCTGTAATCTTAACACTTTGGGAGGCAAAGGTGGGCAAATTGCTTGAGCCCAGGAGTTTGAGACCAGCTTGGGCAAAACGGTGAAACCCCATCTCTTCAAAAAACACAAAAATTAGCCAAGCACAGTGGTGCACACCCGTGGTCCCAACTAATTAGGAGGCTGAGGTTGGGGGATCACCCAAGCCTGGGAGCTTGAGGCTGCGGTGAGCTGTGATCATGCCACTGCACTCCAGCCTGGTTGACTGAGCAAGACCTTGTCTCCAAAAAACAAAACCCAGAAAGTAACAAGTGTTGGCCAGGCACGGTGGCTCATGCCTGTAATCCCAGCACTTTGGGAGGCTGAGGCAGGAGAACTGCTTGAGCTCAGGAGTTTGAGACCAGCCTGGGAAACATGGTGAAACCTTGTCTCTACAAAAAAAAAAAAAAAAACATAGCTGGGCATGGCGGCACATGCACGTAGTCACAGCTACTTGGAGGCTGAAGTGTGAGGATCACCTGAGCCTAGGAGGTAGGTAAAGGCTGCAGTGAGGCAAGATCATGCCACTGCACTCCAGCCTGGGTAAGACCCTGTCTCAAGAAAAAAAAAAAAAAAAAAAAAAAAAGGCTTAAAGGAAAAAAAAAAGAAAATAACAGGTATTGGTAAGGATGTGGAGAAACTCAAACCCTTGTGCACTGCTGGTGGGAATATAAAACAGTATAGCCACTATAGAAAATACTATGGCAGTTACTCAAAAAAATAAAAACAGAATTACCACATGATCTACTTCTGGGTATATACACAAAAGAATTAAAAGTAAGGTCTCGGACGGGCACAGTAGCACACACCTGTAATCCTAGCACTTTGGGAGGCTGAGGCAGACAGATCACTTGAGCTTGAAGTTGGAGACCAGCCTGGGCAACATGGCAAAACCCTGTCTCTACAAAAATTACAAAAAAATTAGCCAGGCATGTTGGTACACACCTGTAGTCCCAGCTACTCAGGAGGCTGAGGTGGGTGGATCGCTTCAGTTTGGAAGGCGGAGGTTGCAGTGAGCTGAGATCCATTGGCGGATGAATGGACAAACCAAATGTGGTACGGACATATAATGGAATATGGTTCAGTCTTAAAAAGCAAGAAAATTCTGGCACATGCTACAACACGGATGAACTTCGAAGACATTACGCTAAGTGAGATAAGCCTGACATCACAAATATTGTATGATTCCACTTACGTGACGTACCTAAAATAGTCAAATTCACAGAGACGAAAAGTAGAAGGGTGTGTTCCAGGAACTGGGGTAACGGGGATGTGGGAGTTACTGTTGAATGGTATACAATTTCAGTTTAGGAATATGAAAATGTTCTAGAGTTCAACGCTGGTGACAGTTGTGCAACAATGTGAATATACTTAATGCCACTGAACCGTGCACTTCAGACGGCTAAAATGGTAAACTTTTGATTATGTGTATTTTCCCCTCCCACTCGCAGCACACACACACGGAAGTGCACTGTAAGGGAACATGTAGTGCACTGCTCAGAGTCCCCCTCATGATCACGACATTCATCTCCCAGGAGCTCAGCTCTTCTCTAAAAATTACACTCGGCTGAAGGGGGCTTCCTCCCCCACGTTTACACACCCTTCCTGGGGATAGCCTGCATCCTATGACTGGTCAATGCGGGGGACACAAAAGTCTGAGTCCTTTGCCGCCGAAAGACCACCCTATCCTTAGTGCTCCCTATGGGGTTGGCTAAGGCTTCTGTTACCATTGTATCCATTCGTATTCTACCTCTGCCCAAATCTGCTCATAGCTATTATTCCAGAGAGCTTCTCCAGTAACTGCCCTGAAGGCAAATCTCCATCTCAGAGTCCATTTCCTAGGGAATACAACCTAAGAGAATTCACGTAGAGAAATGCATCTTTCTAAAAGTAATTTAAAGGGCTGGGCATGGTGGTTCACGCTTGTAATCCCAACACTTTGGGAGGCTGAGGTGGGCGGATCACTTGAGGCCAGGAGTTTGAGACCAGCCTGGCTGACAGGGCAAAATCCCATCTCTACAAAAATACAAAAATTAGCCAGGCGTTGTAGCGCACACCTGTGGTCCCAGCTACTCGAGAGGCTGAGGCATGAGAATCGCTTGACCCAGGAGGCGGAGGCTGCAGTCGAGATAGCACCACTGTACTCCAGCCTGGGCAATGGAGAGTGCCTCAAAATAAACAAATAAATAAATAAAAGCAATTTAAAGTTATAACTCCAACATTTCCCTTCTCCTGTGTGGTACCTGATTCTCAGTCGGTCATTTTCTGAGTAGAGGCGCAAAACATGTTCCCGTTCTTGGAAGAGGCAGACCTGCATGTCACTTAGAGCTTTTTGCAATTCAGCAATCTCTTCCTCCCTCTGCTGCAAATCACATTCAAGTTTATGCTGCAAAAAAACCACAATAAGAAGCTGAAAGACACTGGGTTTCAATGGAGTATCTCTCACTGGATAGGGAGGAGTCTACTCACGTAGAAATATTCCAGAGTAAATAATTTCGCCAATACAGAATTCAAATGACAGCAATAGGCATGTATAGACTGGAGTTTGTTTGTTTATTTATTGAGATCAAGTCTTGCTCTGTTGCCCAGGCTGGAGTGCAGTGGCACGATCTCAGCTCAGTGCAACCTCCACTTTCTAGGTGATTCTCGTGCCTCAGCCTCCCAAGTAGCTGAGATTACAGGTGCATGCCACCACGCCCAGCTAATTTTTGTATTTTTAGTAGAGACGGGGTTTTGCCATGTTGGGCAGGCTGGTCTCAAACTCCTGACCTCAAGGGATCCACCCGCCTTGGCCTCCCAAAGTACTGGGATTAAAGGCATGAGCCACCGTGCCCGGCCTTGACTGGAGTTTAAAAGCTACAGGCTGAGTGTGAAGTTTGCATTTAACATCAAAGCTCTCACATCTTCCTTTTACAGACTATAGAATCCAGAATGCCGTACGACTCACCTATTCTATCCACAGCTTTTTTTTCTTTTTGAGACAGAGACTTGCTCTGTCACCCAGGCTGGAATGCGGTGGCATGATCTCGGCTTACTGCAACCTCTGCCTCCCAGGTTCAAGTGATTCTTCTGCCTCAGCCTCCCGAGTAGCTGGGATTACAGGTGCACACCACCACGCCCAGCTAATTTTTGTATTTTTAGTAGAGATGGGGTTTTACCACGTTGGCCAGGCTGGCTTGAACTCCTGAGCTCAGGCAATCCACCCACCTTGGCCTCCCAAAGTGCTGGGATTACAGGTGTGAACCACCGTACCCGGCCTATCCACATTTTTTTGGTAATGTTTCCTATATCATAAGCATTATTATGACATGCAGAAAAACAAAGATGAAAAGATCTGACTCCTGTCTACAGAGCTAAGGAATTTCATGGGGAGAGAGGCAAAGGATTCAAATAAAATAATTACTTCATGAAAGCATGCATGGTGAAATGGTGTGGGAGAGAGCGTGGCAGGAATAAAAATTCTGAAATCTGTTTGGGAAATCAAAGCACTACCACCAAAGAGCTGACACTTGACAGAGGAACAGTAGACTGGTAGAGAGAGAAGCAGACGGTTGGTACTCCAAGAAAAGAGAACAGGAAGTTAGAACCATGAGAGAGCCTGATGTTGGTAAAAAGGAAGAAAATCTCGTCACGTGCTACAACATGGACGAAACTTGAGGACATTATGCTAAGTGAAATAAGTCAGTCACTAAAAGAAAAACTACAGTATGATTCCACTCTATTCTAGATAAATCCTGCTCTTTTTTTTTGAGACGGAGCCTTGATCTGTCGCCCAGACTGGAATGCAGTGGTGCGATATCAGTTCACTGCAACCTCCACCTCCTGGGCGATTCTCCTGCCTCAGCCTTCCAAGTAGCTGGGACTACAGGTATGTGCCACCATGCCTAGCTAATTTTTGTATTTTTAATAGAGACAGGTTTTGCCATGTTGGTCAGGCTGGTCTCGAACCCCTGACCTCAGGTGATCCGCCTGCCTCGGCCTCCCAAAGTGCTGGGATTAGACGTGAGCTACCATGCCCGGCAAATCCTGCTCTATTTCTAATTCATAGAAATAGCAAGTAAACGGCCGGGCGCGGTGGCTCAAGCCTGTAATCCCAGCACTTAGGGAGGCCGAGACGGGCGGATCACGAGGTCAGGAGATCGAGACCATCCTGGCTAACACGGTGAAACCCCGTCTCTACTAAAAATACAAAAAAACTAGCCGGGTGAGGTGGCGGGCGCCTGTAGTCCCAGCTACTCCGGAGGCTGAGGCAGGAGAATGGCGTGAACCCGGGAGGCGGAGCTTGCAGTGAGCTGAGATCCGGCCACTGCACTCCAGCCCGGGCTACAGAGCAAGACTCCGTCTCAAAAAAAAAAAAAAAAAAAAAAAAGAAATAGCAAGTAAAATAGTGGTTACAGGGAGTGTGGGGAGAAATGATCTGTTTAAGGGATGGAGTTTTGGTTTTATAGAATGAAAACATTCTAGAGATCAGTCACACAACAATGTGAACATACTTAACACACCAGGCATGGCAGATCACTCGAGGCCAGGAGTTCAAGACCAGCCTGACCAACATGGCGAAACCCCATCTCTAGTAAAAAAACAAAAATTAGCTGGGCGTGGTGGCACCCTATAATCCTAGCTTCTTGGGAGGCTGAGGCATGAGAATCGCTTAAACCCAGGAGGTGGAGGTTGCAGTGAGCTGAGATCGTGCCACTGCACTCTAGCCTGGGTGAAAGAGCAAGACTGTCTCCAAAAAAAAAAAATTATATATGTGTATATACACACATACTCACACACACAAACACTTAAACACTACTGAACGCTTAAAATTGGTTAAGGTCATTAAAAATAATTTCACAAAGGCTGGGCTCAGTGACTCACACCTGTTATCCCAACACTTTGGGAGGTTAAGGTGGGAGGATGCTTGAGCCCAGGAGTTGAAGACCATCCTAGACAACAGGGTGAGATTCCGTATTCACAAAAAGTAAAAAATTGGGCAGGGTGCAGTGGCTCACACCTGTAATCCCAACGCCTTGGAGGCCAAGCCAGGCAGGTCATCTGAGGTCAGGAGTTCAAGACCAGCCTGGTCAACACGGTGAAACCCAGTCTCTACTAAAAGTACAAAAATTAGCCGGGTGTGGTGGTGGGCACCTATAATCCCAGCTACTCAGGGGGATGAGGGAGGAGAATTGCTTGAACCTGGGAGGCGGAGGTTGCAGTGAGCCGAGATCGCGCCACTGCACTCCAGCCTGGGTGACAAGAGCAAGACTTCATCTAAAAAATAAAAAAGAAAATAAAAAATAAAAAATTAGCTGTGCATGGTGACACAAGCCTGTTGTTCCCAGATACTTGGGAGGCTGAGGCAGGAGGACTGCTTGAGTCCAGGACTTTGAGGCTGCAGTGAGCTGTGATCACACCACTGCACTCCAGCCTGGGCAACAGGGCAGGACCCTGACTCAAAAAACAAAAAAACAAAAAACCTAGAAGTCTATAGATACATACACAATGTGATAAAAATGACAAATAAATATTAACAACTTATTCGGAGAAAGGGACAGGATACAGGTCCACAGTGGAACTCAAAAGGTTGGAAACACTTTTTTTTGTAGAATCTACAAAAAAAATTAGACATGACTCACACCATGTCCCAGTAAATGTATTTAGAGATGCTGCATCACTGTCATCTGGCAACCAGCCCCCATCCTGAGGCTCTTCAGTAGCTCAAATGGAATGAATTACCCTGTAATTCATTGTATATACACATAATGTGAGAAAAATGACAAGCAAACCTCCAAAAAACAAAAGCCTAATAAATTTGGACAAGCACAAATATTTCAGTACTGCTAGAGTGAAAAATGTGAGGCCAACTGGGAATGTAAGAGACCAAGAGGCAGGTATTGGCAAGGAGGATACTGTCATAGTTTAGACGCAACTCAAGCGTCCGCGTGAGCATCGTGGCAAAAGTGATGTGGGTGTGGGAATGGATTAAGTAATATTTAGGCCGGGCGCGGTGGCTCAAGCCTGTAATCCCAGCACTCTGGGAGGCCGAGACGGGCGGATCACGAGGTCAGGAGATCGAGACCATCCTGGCTAACACGGTGAAACCCCGTCTCTACTAAAAAATACAAAAAAAAAAACCAAACTAGCCGGGCGTGGTGGCGGCGCCTGTAGTCCCAGCTACTCGGGAGCCTGAGGCAGGAGAATGGCGTAAACCCGGGAGGCGGAGCTTGCAGTGAGCTGAGATCCGGCCACTGCACTCCAGCCTGGGTGACAGAGCGAGACTCCGTCTCAAAAAAAAAAAAAAAAAAAAGTAATATTTAGGAAGCAGAATCAATAGGACTTGCCAACAGATTCAGTGTAGGGGACTTGAAAGAACAATAGGCAATCATGCCATTTACCAAGACAAAGAATAAAGAAAAAGTTAAGGAATGAGGAATGGAGGGAGGCAAAATGGTGGCGGTACATGTGCGGGTGAGGAAGAGGGGGTAGAGAAGGAACTTCGGGAGAAAAGTGAGTCAGGGTTGGTTATTTAACAGTCTTCATCACATACGTAGTAGTGTAATACAAGGATAAAACAAGGTCATTTATGGTAGAATCTGGAAGAACTTTGACGTTTAAGAGTAAGGAAAGAGAGTTGTTAATGGACACTGAGATGAGCTGATCAGAGAGGTTAGGTAGAAATTGTGAAAGAAAAATGACACAGCAATCAAGAAAGGAGGCCAGGCTCACGCCTGTAATCCCAGCACTTCAGGTGGCCAAGGCAGGTGGACCACAAGGTCAGGAGTTTGAGATGAGTTTGGCCAACATGGTGAAACCCTGTCTCTACTAAAAATACAAAAATTAGCTGGGTATGGTGGCAGGTGCCTGTAATCCCAGCTACTTGGGAGGCTGAGGCGGGAGAATCGCTTGAACCCGGGAGGCGGGGGTTGCAGTGAGCCAAGACCACGCCATTGCGCTGTAGCCTGGGTGACAGAGCGAGACTCTGTCTCAAAAAAAAAAAAAAAAGGAAATCAAGAAAGGAAGAAAAGTACAGAAAAAGAGAGGTCAAAAGTGACAAACACTGCAAAGGGCAAAAAGAGAAAAGTTTGGCAAAGAGGTACTTGGAGAACACAGAAGGCACGGTTTTAGTGGTGTGGCAAGGACAGAGATGAAACTGCAGTCGAGAAATTCCCTAGCTGGGCATGGTGGCTCATTCCTGTAATCCCAGCACTTTGGAAGGCCGAGGTGGGCAGATTGCCTGAGCTCGGGAGTTTGAGACCAGCCTGGGCAACACAGTGAAACCCTACCTCTACTAAAAAACAAAAAATTAGCTGGGTGCGGCAGCGTGCACCTGTAGTCCCAGCTACTTGGGAGGCCGAGGCTGGAGAATTGCTTGAACCCGGGAGGCAGAGGTTGCAGTGAGCCAAGGTTGCGTCACTGCACTCCAGCCTGAGCGACAGAACAAGACTCTATCTCCAAAAAAAAAAATTTCCCATTCAGTGAATGGGAAAGTCAAAAGATTCTGGAAGTGTGACTGGGAAAAGAAAGAGCCATTTATATAAAAAGAATAGCTAGAGAGAGAAGTCCAATGAAAGAAGAGTTTTTCATTTTTCTTTTAAGTTGGGAAAGACTGGAGTATGTTTATATACTGAGAAGAAAAAGCTAATATCAAGCAAGAAGTTAAAAATAAACAGAAAGCAGAGAAAAATGATGGAGCAAGGTTTCTCAGGAGGAAAAAGGGATGAGGGTCACAGGAGGCATTGGATCAATCCAGCTCAAACAGGCAAAGATGCCTTGTTCCCGAAGCAGTCAGAAGAATGATCATCAGAAGGTGACTGAAGGCCAGGTGCGTGGCTGACACCTGTAATCCCAGCACCTTGGTAGGCTGAGGCGGGAGGATTGCTTGAGCCCAGGAGTTCAATACCGGCCTGGGCAACACAGTGAGACCATGTCTCTACAACAAATTTTTTAAAAATTAGCTGGGCATAGCGGTGTGTGCCTGTAGTCCCAGCTGCCCAGGAGGCTGAGTGTGGGAGGATCAGTTGAGCCTAGGAGTTCAAGGCTGCAGTGAGCCATGATTATACCACTGCACTCCAGCCTCGGTGACAGAGTAAGACCCTGTCTCAAAAAACAAAAAAACAGGCTGGGAGCGTTGGTTCATGCCTGTAATTCCAGCACTTTGGGAGGCCAAGGCAGGCGGATCACAAGGTCAGGAGATTGAGACCATCTTGGCTAACACGGTGAAACCCCGTCTCTGCTAAAAATACAAAAAACTAGCCGGGCGTGGTGGTGGCGCCTGTGGTCCCAGCTACTTGAGAGGCTGAGGCAGGAGAATGGCGTGAACCCGGGAGGCGGAGCTTGCAGGGAGCCAAGATTGCGCCACCGCACTCCAGCCTGGGCGACAGAGCGAGACTCCATCTCAAAAAAATATTAAAAAAAACAAGGAAAAGAAAAGCAACCAAAGGAAAGAAGAAGGAGATAGATATGGATGGAGTAACTGTGTGAAGATGAGCAGGAAAGATGTTGACAGAGGAGGGCTAAGAAGGGGTTGCAGGCTAGAGGTGAGGGTGTGGCACAGATGTGGAAGGAGAGGAAACCCAGTATGGATAGGTAAGAAAACTGTTGTATAGTGGTCGAGGGTACAGCTGAATTTGTTTACCGTCGATTCATTCTGTACTGATTTGTGACCTTTCTACAACAGTGTTCTCAATCAGAAGTGACTTTGCACATATACACACCCATTCCAGAAACATCTGGCAGTGTCTGGAGACATTCTTGATTGTCGCAGCTGCGGGTGTTGTGTTACTGGCATCTAGTGGGTAGAGGCCAGGGATGCTGCTAAACATCCTATCACGCACGGGACAACCCCTCCCAACAAAGAATCATCCAGGCCAAAATGTCAATAATGCCGAGGTCAAGAAATCCTGCTGTAGGAGAACAGGTGACAGAGAACTGGATGACGCCACAGCTTAGTTTTTGCCATGCAGGTGGAGCAGAAGAATAACTGAGCAAGGGGTCATTTGCAGGCAGCGCTGTTACTACTGAAGTAAAGTATCATGGGGTTTAGGTTTGAAGGACATGATGTCAGAGCTATATGCGGCACTTAGAAAACCGAAAATTCCAGAAGCTACGGAGGTAACAAAGAAGTTAAGGATTACTCAGATATAAGGAAAGGAAAGAACTAGGTATAAGGATATGGAGATGTCAGAATTTAAGATTTGAGAGGAAGAGCAGTTTTTGGGGGTTATGATCCAAGGAGGGCCTGAAGGGCCCAGTAGCTGGGCTGGGGAATAAAAAAGGAATATTTTGTGGTTTTTTTTTTTTTTTTGAGACGGAGTCTCGCTCAGTCACCCAGGCTGGAGTGCAGTGGTGCGATCTCGGCTTACTGCAAGCTCCGCCTCCCGGGTTCCCGCCATTCTCCTGCCTCAGCCTCCCGAGTAACTGGGACTACAGGCGCCGCCACCACGCCCGGCTAATTTTTTTTGTATTTTTAGTAGAGACGGGGTTTCACCGTGTTAGCCAGGATGGTCTCGATCTCCTGACCTCGTGATCCGCCCGCCTCAGCCTCCCAAAGTGCTGGGATTACAGGCGTGAGCCACGGCGCCCGGCCTAAAAGGAGTATTTTCATAAAACATCTGCTTATGATACAAGCTGGCACTTGCAGAGCATCTCTAATTAATGAAGACTTCATCAGAGTTCCAAAAAAGCGTGCGTCGTCTCTTTACCTGTCCTTCACAAGCTTCTTTGTAGAGTTCCAGTTTCTTCAACAAGTCCTCATTTTCTGCCTCGCACTCAGCCATCTTCTTCTGATAATATTCCAGGAGCTCCTTAGAAGGACCGAGTTTGGCCAGACGATCTTCGAGGGAAGGCAAGGGGGTTGACTCCAGTGAGTCTGCCATGCCCCTCCTCTTGGTGGGACCACTGGTGGCAACAGCACGTTTGGAGACAACTGCTTGCCTATGTGAAATTGGAAATGATATATTCACTACACCCTGTGGAGTTTAGGAGTTATGACCTTCCAAATCAAAGCGGCTTTTGTGTTCCTGAAGTGCTTACAATGAAGGTGCTCACGGATTTGGAAGTTTGGCCAGCGTGGTGGCTCACGCCTGTCATCCCAGCACTTTGGGAGGCCAAGGTGAGAGAATCACTTGAGCCCAGGGGTTCAAGACCAGCCTGGGCAATATAGTGAAACCCCGTCTCTATTAAAAAAAAAAAAATCTTGGCCAGGCACAGTGGCTCACACCTGTAATCCTAGCACTTTGAGAGGCCACGGCAGGCAGACTGCCTGAGCTCAGGAGTTCAAGACCAGCCTGGGCAACATGGTAAAACCTCGTCTCTACTAAAATACAAAAAAAAAAAATTAGCCGGGCACGGCAGTGTGCACCTGTAGTTCCAGCTACTCGGGAGGCCAAGGCAGGAGAATCGCTTGAACCCAGGAGGCAGAGCCGAGATCCTGCCACTGCACTCCAGCCTGGTGACAGAGCGAGACTCCGTCTCAAAAAAAAAAAAAAAAAAAAAAATTGAAAGTTTGATATGACAGGATAGTAAACAATTTTATTAATTATCTTCCAAGTACTAATGGTTTAAAGCTGGATTCAAAATACATGTTAGAGCCAGGAATGGTGGCACAGCTGAGTGGCTGAGCAGTCCCAGCTCCTCAGGGGGCTGAGGTGGGAGGATTGCTTGAGCCTAGGAGTTCCAGTCCAGCCTGGGCAACATAGCAAGACCTTGTCTCTAAAGAAGTAAAAATAAAATCCATTAGAGACTAAAAAGATAATTTAAAAAAAAAATAGGACATAAACTAAGGAGACCACGTAGTAACAATTAGAAAGTGTAGTACTACTATAAGACATACTGCAGGCCGGGTGCAGTGGCTCACGCCTGTAATCCCACCACTTTGGGAGGCCAAGGCAGGCAGATTACTTGAGGTCAGGAGTTCAAGACCAGCCTGGCCAACAGAGTGAAACCTAGTCTCTACCAAAAATGCAAAAATCAGCCGGGCATGGTGGCGCATGTCTGTAATCCCAGCTACTCGGGAGGCTGAGGCAGGAGAATTGCTTGAACCCAGGAGGCAGGTTCAAGTGCCGAGATCACGCCACTGCACTCCAGTTTGGGTGTGAGATTCCATCTCCAAAAACAAATCAAGCAAAAAACAACAAAAAAACACATATTACATGGTGGCTCACACCTGTAATCCCAGTACTTTGGGAGGCCGAGGCAGGTGGATCGCCTGAGGTCAGGAGTTCGAGACCAGCCTGACCAACATGGTGAAACCCTGTCTCTACTAAAAATACAAAAATTAGCCAGGCGTGGTGGCATGTGCCTGTAATCTCAGCTACTTGGGAGGCTGAGGGAGGAGAATCACTTGAAACCTGGAGGCAGAGGTTGCAATGAGTAGAGATTGCGCTATTGCACTCCAGCTTGGCAACAATAGTGAAACTATGTCTCAAAAAAAAAAAAAAAAAGACATTTTGCAATTGAAACAAACACATCAGATGCTAATCTCTAGCATATGAGACATTTGAATCGCACAGATTAAAACTAAATGTTGTTAACTGGCAAAAAGACTCTGATTAAAGGTTGGACCTGGCTGGGCATGGTGGTTCACCTCTATAATTCCGGGAGGCTGAGGTGGATGGATCACCTGAGGTCAGGAGTTCAAAACCAGCCTGGCCAGCATGGTGAAACCCCATCTCTACTAAAAATACAAAATTAACCAGGCATGGTGGCGCATGCCTGTAATCTTAGGTGCTCGGGAGGCCGAGGCAGGAAAATTGCATGAACCTGGGAGATGGAGGTTGCAGTGAGCCAGGATCGCATCATTGCACTTCAGCCTGGAAAACAACAGCGAAACTCCATCTCAAAAAAAAAAAAAAGGGTGGACATGAAGTTTTTGTTTGTTTGCTTCTAGCAAACAAGACTTGAGCTAAAATAATGAAAGTCGGAAAACAGTACAGGCCGGACGCAGTGGCTCATACCCGTAACCCCAGCACTTTGGGAGGCTAAGGCGGGCGGATCACCTGAGAACAGAGGTTTCGGAACGGCCTGACCAACATGGAGAAACCCTGTCTCTACTAAAAATGCAAAAAACTAGTCGGGCATGGTGGCGCATGCCTGTAATCCCAGCTACTCGGGAGGCTGCAGCAGGAGAATCACTTGAACCTAGGAGGGAGGTTGCGGTGAGCCGAGATCGCGCCATTGCACCCCAGCCTGGGCAACAAGGGCAAAACTTTGTCTCAAAAAACAAAAAAACAAAACAAAACAAAAATAGCACAGAAGAAGAGAAACCTTCCTGTGAAAATAAATCAAATTTGGTTGTCTGCAATTTATAACATAACAAAATAGACAGCAGAGTAGAGAAACTATACCAGAAGCTCTGAGTTAGAGTTAATATTTGTGCTCACTTCTAATACATAAGCATGCAGAGATATTAAAATTTGTCAACTAGCACAAAGAAAAACTTAAACATTTTCTCAATCACTAAAAACTTGTGAGAGAAATACTGTTTTACTTAACATTTCTTTCTTTTTTTTTTTTGAGATGGAGTCTTGCTCTGTTGCCCAGGCTGGAGTGCAACGGTGCGATCTCAGCTCACTACAACCTCTACCTCCTGGGTTCAAGCAATTCTCCTGCCTCAGCCTCCCAAGCAGCTGAGTTTACAGGCGCCTGCCACCATGCCCAGTTAATTTTTTTTTTTTCTTTTTAAAGTAGAGACGGGGTTTCACCATGTTGGCCAGGCTGTTCTCAAACGCCTGACCTTGTGACCTGCCCACCTCGGCCTCCCAAAGTGCTGGGATTATAGGCGTGAGCCACCATGCCCGGCCAACATTTCATATTTTCTAAAGGGATTGTTTCAGGCTGGGCACAGTGGCTTATGCCTGTAATCTCAGCACTTTGGGAAGCTGAGGCGGGAGGATTGCTTGAGTTCAAGAGGTCAAGACCGCAATGAGCTATGATTGCACCACTACACTCCATCACGGGCAACAGAGTGAAACTCTGTCTCAAAAAAAAAAAAAAAAAAAAAACCGTTAGGAAATACGTTTCCAATACCTTCCCAGTTCCTAGGCTAACTTAGTCTAAGGCTATATAAGTCTTGATTTCTTAACAACTTGAAAATAAGCAAATGTCTTACTTTCTGCAGACAGGGGTGTGTTTTGGGGTAAAGTTCATGCTGTCTTTTTCACACCTATCAAATACACAAAAGTTTATAATTAGGGGCCAAGAATAGAAAAATAAAAACAGTACAGAATGCACAGACTGGTTCCCTCTTCAACATCATCATATTTGCCTCTTGGAAAGAATTTGATGTTTTAAAATGTAGTTTTTTTTTTTTTTGAGACAGAGTCTCACTCTGTTGCCCAGGCTGGAGTGCAGTGGCTTGATCTTGGCTCACTGCAACCTCCGCCTTCCAGGTTCAAGCGATTCTCCTGCCTCTGCCTTCCAAGTAGCTGGGACTACAGGTGCCCGTCACCGTGCCCGGCTAATTTTTGTATTTTTAGTAGAGATGGGGTTTCACCATATTGGCCAGACTGGTCCCGATCTCCTGACCTCATGATCCGCCCACCTCAGCCTCTTAAAGTGCTGGGATTACAGGCGTGAGCCACCACCCCCGGCCTAAAATGTAGTATTCTTTAAAGTATCTCCAAATCCTGAAATTCATGCCTTTTGCATTTTCAAAAGGTACTCATAATTATTTTCAAATAAAAATCAGAATGGCATTGAATATTTAAATGGATAAGCACACAAAGAAAGAAAGGTCTCCTTGTTAACTGCAAAAACACAAAAACAAATCTACAATCTTTTCCTTGAAGTTATAGGAGAAGGAGATGCAGAAAAATCTCTACTAAGCAAGAAACAGCACATAGAGCCAGGTGCAGTGGCCCGCACCTATAGTCCCTGCTACTCAGGGGGCTGAGGAGAGGGGAATCACTTGAGCCCAGAAGTTCAAGGCCAGCCTCACCAACAAATGGACTTCCCCTGCCCCCACTCCTCTCTCCAAAAACAGAAGCAGTAAATGGAAATGAAGGTAGAGCACCCACTATATCAAATTTAAAATGAATACAAAACCACTGATGCGATCTTCATTTCATGTGCTTTCTCTATTATCATCAGTAAAAGAAAAAAAATTACTTATAAACTTTAAAAGGCTCTTCATAATCTCCATCTCAATTGATAAAGCAAGATCTTGAGCTCCTGCACTTTAAGCAACCTTATTACAGAAATTTTCAGGAAGATAAACCGCTGGAAAGGGAATGCCATTCCATGTTATATGACTGACAGAGAAAGAAAAGAGAGGCAGAGAGGCTGATTTTTTACTGCTTTGGTGAAAGCTTTCTTATCAAGCATGCTCTGTCACTCCATTCTGATTCTCAGCAAGTCAGATGATGTTTTGTTATGTCCTTCTACCTGGTATAATCTGCTTAAAATCTTCAGTTCTGCAGCCGGGAACAGTGGCTCACGCCTGTAATCCCAGCACTTTGGGAGGCCGAGGTGGGTGGATCATGAGGTCAGGAGATGGAGACCATCCTGGCTAACACGGTGAAACCCCGTCTCTACTAAAAATACAAAAAATTAGCCGGGCGTGGTGGCGGCGCCTGTGGTCCCAGCTACTCAGGAGGCTGAGGCAGGAGAATGGCGTGAACCCGGGAACCGGAGCTTGCAGTGAGCCGAGATCGCGCCATTGGACTCCAACCTGGGCGACAGAGCGAGATTTCATCTCAAAAAAAAACAACTCTTCAGTCTTTTGGGAAAGAATTTTGTGTAGAAGTATGAAGAGAGACAATCACCACTGTTACTTCCATATACCATTTTCCTGCTCAGAGCCCCACAGCACCTCTCTCCCTGACTCCTTCAAAGCTGTCTTCGTTTGGCTTCCAGGACACCTCTTCCTGGTTGGCCCCTTTCCTTACTGGTCATCACTCATTGCCTTGGTGATCTCCTGAGGTCTCACGGTTTTAAACAGCATGTACACATTAGTCGTTTTCAAATTGACGCCTCCGTCCTACTCTGCCCTCCGCTCTAGACTCACATGTCTGACTGACTACTCCGTCTCTCCACGTGGATGTCTAGCAGGTCTCCCAAGCTTGCCAAGTGTAAAACTGAGCTCCTGATACATACCTCCCACCACAAAAACCTGCTCTTCTCTCAGAATTCTCCATTCCAGTAAATACTAATTCTACGCGGCCAGTTGTTTATGACAAACAAACTTGGGTGGAGAAATTTTACTCACCTCTTTGTCTTACATGCCACACATAACCCATTAGCAAATCCTACTGGCTGGTTCATCAAGACATCTAGAGTCTGACAACTACTTACCACCTCTACCCTCATTGCCCTGGTCCAGCACGCTGTTTGTGCTTTTGTTTTTTTAGTTTTTTTAGATACAGGGTCTTGCTTGTCTCAAACTTCTGGCTTCAATCAATCCTCTCCCCTCAGTCACACAAGTAGTAGGATTACAGGTATGAGTCACTGCACTTGGCTTCCAACCCACTGTTATCTCTTGTCCAGATGACTACAGCAGTCTCTTAACTGGTCTCCCTGTTCCACCTTTTTTTTTTTTTTTTTTTTTTTTTTTTTTTTTGGAGACAAAGTCTTGCTCTGTCACCCAGGCTGGAGTGCAATGGCACGATCTCGGCTCACCACAACCTCTGCCTCCCGGGTTCAAGTGATTCTCCTGCCTCAGCCTCCCCAGTGGCTAGGATTACAGGCACCTGCCACTGTGGCTGGCTAATTTTTTTTTGTATTTTTAGTAAAGACAGGGTTTCGCCATGTTGGCCAGGCTGGTCTTGAACTCCTGACCTCAGATGATCCACCCACCTCTGCCTCCCAGTGTTGGGATTACAGGCGTAAGCCACTGTGCCTGGTAGTGCCAACTACCCTTTAAAAATATATCGCTTTGGGGCCGGGCCTTGGCATGGCCAGGCCATGGCAAGACCCTATCGCTACCAAAAATGTAAAACTTAGCTGGGCACGGTGGCATTGCAGTCCCATCTGCTTGGTGTGAGGACCACTTCAGCCTGGGAGTTCAAGGCTGCAGTAAGCAGTGATCGTACCACTGCACTCTAGCCTAGATGATAGAGCAAGACCCTGTCTCAAAAGAATAAAATAAAATAGGCTGGGCACAGTGGCTCATACCTGTTTAACGCCAGCACTTTTCGAGGCCAAGGTAAATGGATTGCTGGAGGTCAGGAGTTTGAGAGCAGTCTGGGCAACATGGTGAAACCCTGTCTCTACAAAAATTACAGAATTAGCTGGGAGTGGTGGCACGTGCCTGTAGTCCTAGCTATTCAGGAGGCTGAGGCAGGAGGATTGCTTGAGCTTGGGAGGCAGAGGCTGCACTGAGCTAAGATTGCCCCACTGCTCTCCAGCCTGAGCGACACAGTGAGACCTTATCTGGAAAAAAAAAGAATAATAAAAATAAACATTGCTTTGTAGTTGAGAGTGTAGGCTCTGATATCAGACTTGGGTTTGAGTCAAAGCCCTGCCTCTTATTAGCTGGGTACCTCAGGTAAGTTATCCTCTCTAAATTTCAGTTACTTCTATGTCATAGGTTGGTATATGGATTAAATGACATAATGAATATAGCGCCGAGTGACAGTGTTTGACATATAAGCACTCAATAAATGTGGACTATTATTATTATTGACAACTCCCAAAGATTCTGTCTTCAGCTTTATCATTTCCTCTAACCATTTCTTTGGGAACATCATTATTCCTCCTGTTTTTATTATTAACTCTACCATCTAAAACACTACATGGCATATAGTAAGTAACAATTACATGTTGAATAAACAAACATCTCTTTTAACCTCTTAATTTGAATTAACAAAAATGTACTGGACATTTTCACCTATCGGCGCTTGAAATGTTTAACCTAAAAAAGAAATCACTCAAGTTAGGTATTTTTTTTTTTTTTTTAGCATCTCAAAGTTAACATTTCCTAAACCTAACACATCATCTTTTTATCCAAACACGACCCTTCTGACTTTCCTATTTTAGGTACTAATTCGGCGTTTCCAAGCAACTAGGAGTTGGCAACTTAAATTCATCATTTGATCACTCATTCTCCTGAATCTCCTGTCTAACCATATGAATATCTTGTATATTTTATCTCCACAATGACCATGTTAATTCACAGTCTCAATACTTCTTACTCATACCACTACAACAGCTTAACGGTTCTACCAACTCCTTGCCTCTCCTGAACCATTTTCTGTAATAAAATTCATCAGTAGAACCTCATAGTCTAAAGCATTAAATCAAACTTGTTAGCCTAGAATTCACGACTTTCTACATAAGGGCCAAACCTAACTTTCCTGCCTTATTGCCTTCTACTCCCCCAAATGTACCGTCTCCAGATAACTTTCCTGACTCCGTACCTTTGTTCATGAGCTTCCCTCTAGCTGGAACACAGCTCCCTCCACAGCCCTCATTTCACTGAACAAAATCTAGTCTGTACATGAAAACTCGTCTTAAATAGCACCTCCTTTTCCTCTTTCCTGAGTCTCCCCATCCAGAATGATTTAGCAAAAATGATCTAACTGCAAAAGAACTGCCTTTGAAATTCTCTACAAGTCAACATATTAGAATTCTTCATTGCTATCGTTTCTCCCTTGCTAGCGTGCGTTCCCTGCAGATAGAAACCGCGTCTTACTCTTCATTGCCTCTTCTAAAGAACAATGTCCTTGTTGACAGGTAAATTACCGGGTTTCAGCTAGCTTCTCTGCACCTATCTCCAATATCCTTGCTTAGCTATATTCTTACAGCTTGTCTACTAACAATTAACATTTATGTAGCACTTTGAATTTTTTTCTTTTAGCCACGTGACAAATCTGTGAAATTTATTTTATTATCCCCACAACTGGTAAGTATTTTTACTACCCCTTATTTTACAAATGAGGAACCTGAGGGTTAGACCAGCGTGGGGGGAGCGTATACCGGAACCCATCTCCAGGGCGTCCGAATCCTGCACCCCCTTCCCCACTTCGCCCCACGCTCGACTCCCTCCCTGCGGCAGGTCCCCACCCTCCAGCACTCCTCGAACTTTCTCCTCCGGTCCGCAGCCCTTCCACGGGCACCCGATTCCAGGCTCACGTCCCTCCCCTCCGCACTGCTTCCGCGGTTACTTCTCCCCCACAAGATTTTCCTCCCAAGGCCTCTTACTAACCCCTTCACCCCCAACCCGAAACTCCAAACTCACGACACACTGAGACTCCGCGTCAGGGAACTCAACTGAAACACAAAAGTCAAACCAAGGAGCGTCGCGGCGCCACGGCCCGTCCCTGAATCCGTGCAATCGCGCAGGAGTTTACACGGCCCTTTGGACTGCGCACCAATGGGAACGGCCGTCACACAGAGGCCCGCCCCATCTCGCCCCTCCTCGCGGGGCTCCTGGCCGCGCAGAGGTCTCTGGGAAACGTAGTTTTTCTTCTGCACGCAGTTCTGCGCGGGGCGATGCAGCTGGGCTGCAACCGGCTGCTCCAGGTACGGGTAATGGGACGTTTGGGGTCAGAACGCACCGCTTCCGGGCACCCCCACTTAAGATTGCTCAACTGCTTTGAGCTCAGGTGCTTCGCGTTCATGGTACATATATGTTGTCATTTCCAAGCTTGTCTCAAGAAGATAAAGATTCTAAGAAAAGTTTGTTCTTCCGTGACCTGCTGGCCTGGAGCCAGGATAGGACCTGAGGTTCAGTTTCTACGGTCAGGGGATTATGTATTAAAATTCTACTGTTTGTTCCGTAGCAGACACTGCTTCCTTTTCCGGAGAAATGTGAGTCACTGGGCTTTAATGATCAAAGCAAGTTCAAAATCCATTATGTTCTCATCTTTCCAGAAAGCAAGGTGTAAAGGTGGAGGAAAAAGCGCTTAATTGCAGCTACTGGCATGGAAAAGCTGGGCCCTTCGCTGGTACCAGTCCTAAGGATGTCTAAACGGAACGTGCGTCTGCTACAGGCACACTTTCTTTTATTGCGCTTCCCAGATAACTGTTTTTACAACTGTAAGGTTTGTGGAAACTGCATGGAACTAAATCTATCTGCGCCATTTTTCCTACAGCACAGGCTTACTATGTGTCTCTGCACCACACTTGTTAATTTTCACAATATTTCAGACTTTTTCATAATTATTGTATGGGTTATGCTGATCTGTTGTCTTTTATATTACTCTTGTAATTGTTTAGGGGCACCATGAACCATGCCCATATAAGATGACAAACTTAATTAATAAATGCTGTGGATGTTTTGACTGCTCCGCAGACCAGCAGTCTCCCTGCCCTTCTCCCTCTCTTCTTGCCTCCTTATTCCTATGATACAACAATATTGAAATTAGACCAATTAACAACCTCTATAGTGGGAGTTCAAGCGAAAGGAAGAGTCACACATCTCTTACTTTAAATAAAAAACTGAAAATGATCAAGCTCAGTGAAGAAGGCATGTTGAAAGCCGAGACAGGATGAAAGCCAGTCTTCTTGCACCAAAGTTAGCCAAGTTGGGCGTGCCAAGGAAAAGTTTTTGAAGGAAATTAAAAGTGCTGCTCCAGTAAACACACAAATGATAAGAAAGTGAAACAGATATTGCTGATACCGACAAAGTCTGAGTGGTCTGGACAGAAGATCAAACCAGCCACAACATTCCCTCACGCCAAAGTCTAACCTGGAGCAAAGTCCTAACTCTTCGATAAAATGAAGGCTGAGACAGGTGAGGAGGCTGCAGAAGAAAAGGTGGAAGCTAGCGGAGGCTGGTTCGTGAGGTTTGAGGAAAGGAGCTATTTGCGTTACTTAAAAGTGCGAGGTGAAGCAGCAAGTACTGGTGTAGATGCTGCAGCAAGTTATTCGGAGAGCTAACTAAGGTAACTGGTTATGGTGACTGCATTAAACTACAGACTTTCAATGTATCTGAACCAGCCTTTTATTGGAAGAACATGCCAGCTAGTACTTTCATAGCTAGAGAGAAATCAATGCCTGGCTTCACAGCTTCTAAGAACAGACCGACTCTCATGTTAGGGGCTAATGTAACTGTTGACTTTAAGTTGAAGCCAGTGCTCATTTACATCCCTAAAATCCTAGAGCCTTTAAGAAGTATGCTAGATATAGTCTGCCTGTGCTGTATAAATGGAACAACAAAAGTTGGATGACAGCATATATGTTTGCAGCACGGGTAACTGAATATTTTAAGTCCACCATTTTATTTATGTTTTATTTTAAGTCCTACAGCTCAGGAAAAAAAGAATTTCTTTCAAAATATTACTTCTCACTCACAATGCAACTGGTCACCCAAGAGCTCTGGTGTAGGTGTGCAAACAGATGAATGTTACTTTCATGCTTGCAAAGACAATGGACATTCTGCAGCTCATGGATCAAGGAGTCATTTTTGACTTTCAGGTCTTATTAAGAAATATATTTCAGGCTGGGCACGGTGGCTCATGCCTGTAATCCCAGCACTTTGGGAGGCCGAGGCAGGCGGATCACCTGAGGTCGGGAGTTTGAGACCAACCTGACCAACATGGAGAAACCCCGTCTCTACTAAAAATACAAAATTAGCCAGGCGTGGT